TGTAGTAACTGTTAAATGAGAAACTATTTTGTTCTGTAAGCCTTCATCTTAAGTGAGAATAGTAGCACAATTGGAAGAGCGTAGTCAATGTCACGGAACTGTGCATGTAGAAATTTTTAAAATGGTGTATCTTTGTCTATGTGTATTTTCACCAAAAAGAAAAAAAAGTTTGAGAAGTTAGAGGGTTGACATGTTGTAGGGTTGTTAACCAATATCATAAAACAATGTGCACTACTGTTTCATGAGAAACTATTTGTTCTGTAAGCCTTCACCTGAAGTACAATTAAAAAAAAAAAAAAGGATTTTATTAACGAATTCTTGGTAAAGAAATCACAATAAAAAAAATTCTTGTATGAATTAAACTTCTTTTTATTACCTTTGTTCATATGATATATGGTAACACTAAAGACCATATGGCAGCTCATTGACAAGAAGACTGAACCTTTAGACTATCATTTAATTAACCTCCATTTACATAATGGCCTTATTATTTTTATAGCTAATGGACTAGGTCTTGATTATAGGTCGTAACAGTCATTAATAAATGGAACTGTGTTTGAAACATGTGGGTTTTGTATTCCAAACTCAAGAAGCAAAGATCAATCATGAAATGCTAACAATATTGTTTAAAAGCTAGGCATTAAACAAACTAACATTTAGTTTTTAGGCTCGCATTTCTGAAAGATAAGGATGAATTTGTTATTTGGTCTTACCTCCATATGCACACTGGGGCACATACAAGTATATATGTGTGCATTAGCTAAACTTTTATTAGCCTTAGCTTACAGTAATTTAACTTACATTAATGAGAGCTAATTGCATTTGCTTCTAATAAAGCTTTTCAAAACATTCATAAGTGAGAGTTCAGATGCCAAGTTCCACAACCTAAATATTTAGCAAAATTTCTTTCTAAAACAAACTGCTCATTTGCTTTGAGTAACGATGGCAAATGCAGTTTTCAATTGTTTTTTCCTGTCTATTTGTAATTGCAATAATATAATTTGCATTATATAATTTAAAACTACTCTAACCTTTTGACTCCCGGTTTAATCAATTCAATCTATAATTTGAAGCATCCTCTATAATTTTATAAAAAATATAATTGCCTGCAATTTAAAGATTTAAAAACTAAAAGAACTGCTTTGCTATTTTTACAAAATTTAATTATACAAGTGATGTATAATTATTGAGTACAATTTAATTTTGTAAATTCAAAACATATACTGTGTATAATGTGAGTTTTCAAATGGTTTAGCTGGTACCTATACAAGAGACACTCTACCTTTATCAGTAAGTGAGATTTAGAATAAATGAAAAGAAGTGATTTATTTTCATGATCATCAATTGCTGAACTGATAAAAACAATTCTATAATGCATCCTCTGCCTTTACTCCCATCGTGTACTCCTCCCCCCTCACACTACCTGGGCTCTCTCCTCCTGGTATTCATATTTGTACCCTTGCACTGCTCTCATGCCCCGCTGTTCATCTCTTCCATTGCCATGGATTGCTTAAGTGCTAAAAATACTGACTCACTGGATGGAAGGAAGCAGTGTTTATCCCATTATTGCTAACATCATCTTTCACTACTAGGCTCTTGCTTGCTCCTCTGTATGGGAAAATTATACGACAATGAAATGTCAAAGATTTTGGAGCCAAACTGACCTGGGCTTAAATCTCAAATTTTTCATTTACAGATTGTGTCATTGAGAAACAAAAGTAACTTTTCCTTATATTTTTGTCTCTGTAAAATAGGGGTAATAGTTCTCATCTCATAGAAATGTGTGGATTAAATATACCACATATAAAAATTACAATAAATGTTAGTCACTAATTTTAACATGTTTTTTTCCTCTGCTTTAAGAAAATACATCAGTACAAGAAGCCACAGAATTCAGGGAACGCCTAGCAGTCATGGATTCATTAGCAATATACTTTCCAGAGGGTTGTCCGGAGCCTTACAATGGGGTTAAGAGTCAGATTTATTGTTTAATGTACACAAATAACAATGACATCATAAAGCTATTGTACATAGTTTGAAAGAAGTATGTTATTGCCTTGACATTTCTGCTTATGGAATCACTCCCTGAATTCTCATATTAGCTGTTAAAATGAATGAGCAGTCTTCTCTGAGTGTTAATGATCTTCCTATTTGCTTAACAAGAACTTTATTTACACATAGGCATTTTCACTAAAAACTGAGTAGAATTGCCATAAAATTCTTGTAAAAACTTAAAGTAAAATGACTTACTTTTTGAAGGAACTCGGAGATTGGCTAGGACCACTTCCAGGGAATCAGCCTGGACTCGAAGTACGTAGCTTGTCTTTGTCTCATAGTCCAGAGGAGCTTTTACATAAATAACACCTGTGATGTTATTGATTCCAAACGCACCTAGGATTTAAAATACAATTCCTTTGGTCATTTTCTTCACACTAAAAGCAAAAAAGAATACCTTTAAAAAAGCACTGTGAATTAAAAAAAAAATACTAAAAACATCTGTTTGTAACAACAGTGATGCATAAAAGAAACAATATTCTAGCTCTTGAAATGATCAACATGAGTGTTTTTCTAAATACACTTCTTAAAATTCTAGTGGTTTTGTTGCTTCTGTGTACTTTTTTAAAATTTCATATAATTTTTGAGAGTAAGTTATCTCGGAGTGACTTAGTTGGATGGTTCTGACTCAGGGTCTCCCATGAGGTTGCAGACATAATGTCAGCTGGGGTAGCATCATCTGAAGGCTTAATGGGGCTGGAGGATCCACCTTCAAGATAGCTCACTCACATGGTTATGGGTAGGACTCAGTTCCTTGCTGGCTGTTGGCTGAAGGCCAACTTCAACTGGGCCTCATCAAATGGGCCTCTTCACCGGGCAGCTCGAGTGTTCTCAAAACATGGTGGATAGCTTCTCCTAGAGTGAGTAATCTCACTCCTCCAAGTAAGAAATTTATGACTCACTTTCTGAAGTCATACAGTGTCACTTTTGCTTTATTCTACTTATTAAAAGCAAGTCATTTAGTTCAGTTCACACTTATATGGAGAGGAAGTATGTTTTCCTCTTGAAAAGAGGAGAATCAAACCCTTTGTGGGCATTTTAGAACCACTATAATGTCTTTCATGACTTCTATAAAATCCTAAAGCATCTCTTTAAATACTGGTCCTGCCTCCATTCTCTCTTTCCTTTCCTTATGAAATCCCAAAAACATGTTTTATAGTTTGACTGTAACCCTGTTTTCCTTATGTTCATTTCTTTCTTTTTTAATTTGTCTCTTCATGCTTAATTCTGGTTATTTTCTTCAGACCTATCTTTGAATATATTACTTCTCTCTTCAGTTGAGTCTAATCTTCTGATATCTTATAAAGTTCTTTTTTTTTTCATTGTTGTACTTTTCTTATTATTGTGGTAAATACATAGATAAAAAATAGTCATTTCAAGAATTTTCATATGTACAATTCAGTGACATTAGATATGTTCATTATGTTGTTCAGCCATCACCGTTAACTATACCCAAATTTTTCTATCACCCCATGGGTTTTTAATTTCAGTTATTATAATTTCAGCTCTATAATTTTAATTTTAAAAATAATTTCTAGTGTCCTGCTTGCATTCATCTATTTTATTTCTTCAGACTTGTCAAACATCATTATTTTAAGATCCATTTTATTTTCCTGTAGGTACATTTATAGCTGGGTATGACTGGAGAATGAAGGCATCAGCCATCTCATTTCACACCAAGCCAATCAGCAGGTGGGATAATTCAAAGCCATTTAGCCCTTACTGTTAGGTTTATTTCTTTGGGATCCCAACACAAACTTGGGAATTTATCAGGGCTTCCTCTCAGTGATGACCCTTGAACTCCAAATTTTGTTACATTAATTCATTTCTCTATGCTTTTTTTTTTTTTCTGGATCTGACTCTATGATTTTCATTTTCATTTCTCTAATATTTTCAAACATCTTTTGCACAACTTTTCTGGTTGTCCTCAGTGAGAAAATTTGTCCTAACCATTTAGTCTATCATTATCAGCAGTAGATATTCTTGCCTGATTTTTTAAATTTATTTATTTTGTTGCTGAGAATATACACAGCAAAACATACGTCAATTCAACAGTTTCTACATGTACCATTTAGTGACACTGATTATATTCTTTAAGTTGTGCAACCACTCTCATCTTCCTTTTCTGAGTTTTTCCTCCACCAATGACATAGAATCACTGCCTCCTAAGGTTTCTATCTAATCTTTCAAGTTTCTGCTGTCACTTTGATCCCATATAGACAGTCTTAAAAGAGCATAATGATCCAGGCAGACATTTTTTACTAGTTAAGCTAAATTAACGTTTGATTTTAAAAAGAGTTCAAGGGATATTTTTGGTTTAAAGTTAAAAGATTACATTAGGGCAATAGTTTCAGGGGTTCATCCAACCTTCATTGTTCCAGGAAGTCTAGAGTCCATGAGAATTTTAAATTCTGTTCTACATTTTCCCCCTTTTGATCAGGATTCTCCAATAGAATCTTTGATCAAAATGGTTCAATAATGGTAGCTGGGCACCACCAGTTCTTCTGTTCTCATGGTAAAGGAGGCAGTTGTTCATGGAGGTAATTAACCACACATTCCAAATCCTCCATCTATTCCTGACTCTCCCTCTTCCTTGTTGTTCCAGGCTAATAAAGACCAATTGTTGTGCCTTGGATGGCCACTTGCAAGCTTTTAAGACCCCAGGCATTACCCAATGAACCAGGAGATAGAACAGAAGCACTAAACTTGTTATTATTACCTGATTATATTTTTGGTATTTCATTTTCATGATTGCATCATTCTTTTTTAAACATTTTATTAAATATTTTATAACATGTATCTGATTATTCTAGAATCTGAAGTCCTTTGTGGTCTAACTATTTTGTTATTGTTGTTATTTTTGCTCATGGTTGCTCTTTTCTTGTACTTTAAGTGCTTATTTATTTTGAGTATATATTTCCTTAGAGGTAATCTGTCAGTATCTTAAGTGTGTAAATAGGGAAAGGTTTTTTATTTGCTTCCTTTGGAAACTAGAAATACTACTAACCTGGAGCTACTCTAGCCCTCTTCATGTTCTTAACTTAATTCAGGAGTCTCAGTTCAGCTGCCTGACCATAAAGTGAGCCCAAAGTTCAGGTTTACTTACTATGAAGCATTCTTCTTTTCATGCATTTGTCTGACTGTCTTTTATTTGCCTTGGAGATATCTCTACTTCTTGAGAACCCACAAAAACATTCAATTATCGTTTTTTCCCCCTTTGAAAATATCTAGTTTACTATTTAGTTTGAAGTGTGAGTTTCCATTACTCTCTTTGTATCCACTCTAATTAGGCTTTTGTCCCCACCATTCCAGCAAAACTGCTCCTGTTTCATGACTTCTCCATGAACAAATCCAATGGTCAATTTTCACAGTCATCTTACTCAAACTATAAAGGGTATTTTATACTTGATATCTCCCTTCTTCTTGAACTATTTTCTTTCTTGGATTCTTGGATATTATTATTATTTATCTTATACTTACGGTGATCAAATAATTTATCATATACATTTAGACACATAGGATAGTAAAAAAGAGAGCTATTAATAATTGTGCCAGAACAACAAACATAAATGAAGACTGTATAGGAGGAATGAAGTTAGGTTGTCAAATATTTGTACTCTCATATCCTCACTGATTATAAGGGCAAAGAATTGTCTGTTTTTTCACTGCTGTATAAGTGCTCATAGTAGACAAGTAGTAGATAATCGATAAATGTTTGTTGAACGAATGAATAAATCAATGAATCAAATGTAAAATCGTCTTGGTGGGGAGAAAGAAGGGGACAATTATAGCTAAGTTTGTTTTCTTCAAGGCAGAGAATAAATAGAATCATAGAGAGAAAGAACCTGGATAGGTAGGGAAATTATAGCTTTAAGATGTTGGCAGTAGAAGGAAAAAGAAGTTTAGTAATATATTGAGGGAGAAGGTCTAGCAGCACAAGCAGAAATGCAGAAGAAAGGCAATAAGAAAATAAGATGTCGAGTACTTGCTACAAGGGCAGTAGTTTATACTAATTGTTAGTCAATGAAACACTTACGAAAGGTCTTTATAATTTCCTTCCAAACTGTTTAAAAGAATTGACATTTATTTCTTTAGTAAATATTTAATATTCGTTCATTTATTGAAAATTTATTCACTATTCCTTGAGCATTTAAAATACACAAAGCCATTCAGCGAATCAAAAGGGAACATAAAAACCAAAAAAACCAAACCCACTGTCATTGAATTGATTCTGACTCATATCAACCCTAGATGAACATAGAGGACATCTACTCTGTGGGCAATAGGTGAAGTAAGCATTCAGTGACAAAGACTGAGTTATGAATTTAATTTCAGAGACTAGCAAACTGTTATCTATTCTTAGTGAGAAGTTATTGGTAGTCAAAACTCAAATTATACTAAGTTTATCGAGGAATCCTGGCGGCAGAGCTTGGCTGCTAACCAAAAGTAATAATTAAATTAATTGTACACCTAATTTTACTATTTGAGAAACTGTATTATAGGTATAATATACATGACTTTAAGGAGCCCTGGTGGCACAGTTGTTAAGCATTCAGCTGCTAACCGAAAGGTTGGCAGTTTGAACCCACCAGCCACTCCACAGAAGAAAAATGTGGCAATCTGCTTCTGTAAAGATTTACAGCCTTGGAAACAATATGAGCAGTTTTACTCTGTCCTATAGGGTCTCTGTAAGTCAGAATCAACTCGACGGCAATGGGTTTGGTTTTTTATACGTGACTTTTAACATGAACGTGATCTTTTGACATTCACGTTTATTTATGACCCTAAAATTTCTTCCGGATTTGGCTAAGGTTTGATTTGAATGGTAGAGAACAGTGGAGAGAGATTACTGTAGACAATAATTATGACCAAAAGCTGAAAATATGATGCCTTAAATATGAAGTACTGTCATCACAATATTCCTAAACAAGGGGGCTATTTCCAGAGGTGAAAAGTGTAGTATTTCCTTGTGAGAGGTAAAAAACAAAACAACAACAAAGGTCATATTCATTCAATAACCTGGTTTTTAATCTAATTAGGACAGTTACCATTACATTTAAGATGGGCAAACTTATATTAGAAAAAATAGAGTAAATATTAATTCAATCCAAAATTAATTATGAACCCAAGTTTATTGGTTTATGGTGAAGACACAGACTAAAGAATTTACTCACCCTCTTCGTTTCCTGAAACAATGGAGTATACAATACTCTGATTGATGGCAGCAGCAGAAATTACACCAACCACGGTCCCTTTGGTTGCAAGTTCACTTACTGGAGGAGGTCTGCAGATTTAGAAAAGTTGATTTATTTCTTATGGTCCATTTTGCCATGATAGAGGTTTGAATTTAACAATAGAATTTTTAAGCATTATATGTGCATGTGTATATAACATACACACGTTAACACATCAGCTTAAGGCACCAGTTCCAAGAAGGTAGGTTCAAAACCATGCAAATGCTCTTGGGTGAGAGTGTCTTAACAGCTACATTATTCTTGATTTAAGACAAACATACTACTATTCTATTATCTGCCAAATGTTGTACAAAATTGTATTCACTTGTCTTAAAAAAAAAAATTCTGGATTGAAAGCAATAGATGTATACAACTGGTTATCTAAACTTGTTAAAATAAAATGTTGCTCTTGTGTTGTTGTTAGTATATTAAAGCAGATGGTTCCAGATGTCTGTTTCTAGTCCTTATTTTTGCCCAACTGCAAAGCTCTAATTGTACAAAAAACATTTGAATGGATGACTTGTCACAACATTTACCTTTTTGAATTATTTATTTGCTTAACTATAACAATGTTACGTCCTTAGTATTATAATATTATTACTGATTGAATTGTGCCCCTCAGAAAGGTATGTTGAAGTTCTAACCCCTGCAAGGAATGAATATGACCTTGCTTGAGAAAATAGGGTTTTTCTTTGCAGATGTTAACAAATCATACCGGTGTAGGATGGGTTCTAACTCTAACCCCTTCTGAGTGGCATCCTGTAAAAGAGAAGGATAGACACTGAAGCAGACACATTAGGGAAGCCAGCCTGTGACGATCCATTTACAAGCCAAGGAATGCCAAACACCACCCCGGCTACTAGAAACTGAAAGAGACAAGGGAGGATCTTCCCCTGGAGCCAGCAGAAACATAGCATAGCCATGGTGATACCTGAATCCAGACTTCTAACCTCCAGAACTCTGAGGGAAAAAAAAAAATCTGTTCTTTAAAGCCATCCATTTTTTGGTATTTTGTTACAGCAGCCCCAGGAAACCAAGACAGGTATCTACCCAATTTAAAAAAATATATTTTCAAAAGCACAGTATTTTATTCTCATAATCTCAATTTTATTTTAAAATGTCGGTCACTACAACTAGCCTATCATAAATTTATCATCATAAAGTAAGGCAAATAATTTTTATTAGTTTATATCAACCAGCTCTAATAGAATTAGAAAATTGTTAAATAGAAGGTTTCAACAATATCTCTGAATATTGTTTTCCAGTTCAGTCTCTCTATGTATCCTATCTGGTTCCTGTAATCTTCAGCCTCTGTTCTCAGGCCACTAAGACAAATCTTGGTGCCATTTCTTTCACGTGGCATTGTCTTTCAATATCTTCTTTTCTGGTATCTCTATTTTTATCTCCATCCTCTCAGTTCTTCTAATCTGGATTATATTGTGCACATTATTTTGTACCTTTAATGAAGTCTTTTATACCAAATCCTAAACTGCCAATACACTCTGATAAATTAATTATATATGGCCCATTTACAAAAATCTTATCCAAATTGCTATGTTCTTTGCCACTGTAGTGCATATGTTTGATTGACTACGTTACCCAAATATAAAGCCATCTGTTTTACAAATGCTCCAGCACCTAATGACGGTCAATATACTCAGTGCATTTTCAATTAATATTTTTTATGTTAAATAATAAGAACCAACTTATATCTGAAGCATTTTTAAATGAAAACTATAAAGGTAATGTTCACTCACTCATTCATTCATTCATTTTTCCTGCTTTCTTTGGATAACAACATCCAAATATTAATCTGGATAATCGTTCCTCTTCCATTATTAGTACACATGGTTTGGGTAGGGCTGAAATAAGCTACAGTGTATATGTGATAATATTATCCATCTTTGGCCAATGAGTGTATTTCATTGTTTGTTTACTGTTTATGTGTGGTATATGTCCCATGTGAAATCACTGAGAGTTTTCCCCCAGAATTTTACTGTAACTATTAGAAAAAGTTTTCCTTGTTGTTTTGCTAGAATTTAAATGCTGGTACCCTATGAGAAACACTTTTCTGATAACAATACCAAGATACACGAAAGACTGTTATTGTTGTTGTTAGGTGCCATCGAGTTGGCTCCAACTCATAGCAACCCTATGTATAACACAACAAAACATTGCCTGCTCCTGAAACTTCCTCACAATAGTAGGTATGTTTGAGCTCATTGTTGCAGCCACTGTGTTAATTCATCTCATTGAGGGTCTGCCTCTTTTTCACTGGCCCTCAATTTTACCAAGTATGATGTCCTTCTCTAGGGATTGCTTCCTCCTGTTAACATGTCCAAATTAAGTGAGACAAAGTCTTGCCATCCCCAACTCTTGGACTGAGATTTTAAATACTGCTATACCTAAACACTCTTTTATTTTCTTTTTATCTAGAATTTTTATCATATCCAATCAAAAGGGTCCCAACCAATTAAAAAAAGTACTTAGGTTAGAAAAAGATTCAGTTGCCTAGGTAGAACCCTCTAAAGTAAAAAATTCTAAGATTTTACAATTTTATTCTATTGTCACTGTGTTGGTTCAGTGAAATAAGGATGATTTTGCCATTTTGAATCTAAAATGATAGTAGTCTACCACAAAAGCAAAGGAACTTACAAGAGGGGCACTAAGGCTAGTTCTGATGGACTGTTCTGATTATGAATAGATCAATTTTTTGTGCAATATTTTAGACTATAAAGATATATTAAGACTATTTACTACTTGACAGACTGATTAGTGGTTGACTGTGATGATTAGTGGAGCCCTAGTGGTCCAGTGGTTAAGAGCTTGGCTGCTAACCAAAAGATCGGCAGCTCGAATCCACCAGCTGCTCCTTGGAAACCCTGTGGGGTAGATCTACTCTTTCCTATGCGGTCACTATAAGTTGGAATCAACTTGACGGCAATGGGTTTGTTTTTTTTCTTTGTTTGTTTATGATGATGGGTAGAGGATCAGCAAAACAGAAGAAGACCCTCAATGGAATGGACTGACACAGTGGCTGCAACCATAGACTCAAGCATAGCAACGATTGTGGTGATGGCGCAGGACTGAGCAGTGTTTCATTTGGTTGTACATAGGGTCACTATGAATCAGAACCAACCAGACAGTACCTAACAACAACAACAATGATGATGATTGTGAAATCATTAAGCCTAGAAAGGGTTATTTTAGAGAGAGATGGAAATACTGTGTGGCGGGCATCCTCTAAGATGGCTCCCAATTATCCCTATCTCTTGGTATTCACACTCTTGCAGATCTCCTCCTCTTGAGTGAGAGGTGGAACCTCTGACTTGCTTCAAACCAACAGAATATGGTAAAGGTGATAAGATGTCACTTCAATGATTACATCACATTGATTGTAACTGCCTTCTTGCTAGCAGACTGTATTGACTATCTCCATTACTGGCCTTAATAGAGTAAGCTACCATATGGAGTGGCCCACATGGCAAGGAACTGAAGGCAACTTCTGATCAACAGCCAGCAAGCACCATGCCCCTCAATTCAATACCACAATGAAATGAATATTGCAAACAAACACATGAAGTTGGAATTGGACCCTTCCCCAGTAGAACCTCAGATGAGATTCCAGTGTTGGCAGAACCTTGATTATAAGAAACTGTGAGGCAGAGGACACAGCAAAGCCATGCTTGGATCTTTGACCCACAGAAACTGCTAGATAATAAATGTGTGTTGTTTTAAGCCATTAAGTTTGTGGAAATATTATGCAGCAATAGGTAACAAATACACATGGAGTGAATATTAGAGCAATGAATTGTTAATTTATGTCAGGTTACATACAACTTATTAAAAATTTTGCTATAAGAAATCTATGTTAGTAACATCCTGGGATAACTTTCAAAAATAGAATTTTTTTTTTGAAGTACACATTACTTAAATTGTATACTTGTCTATCTATCTTGTTACTACATGAAATAACAGCTAAATTTTGTACTTTCTATAATTAAGACATTTCTTGATCTTTATAAAGTATAGAAATATAATGTCGGCAGCTAATGTACTTTTAGCTCTAACATTAAGAGAATGCAATCAATTATTTCAAATATTAAGAAAATTATTTTGTGCCCATTTTTGCAACCTCCACTGCAAAATCAGAATGGAAATAATTAATACTAGAAAAAGTAACTGGTATAATTTAAGAAGAAATTTAAAGTCTTCCATTAAATTTAAAGCATACCACTAAAAGCATTTAAAATTCAATTTGCTAGTAAACGTTTAAAACAGATTTACTACTAGACAAGATATCTCCTTATTAACCTTTGTCTTACTGTTTCAACACATCTCTTACAACCAAAATCAAAAGACACTATAAAAATGCAATTTTCTCCTGGCTAGAATTAAATGAACCACTATGATAATGAGCTTTAGAGTACAAAATCTCAGTTCTTTTCTATTTATTGCTAGGCAGGACCCATTTTATTTTTATTTTATGCCCTGGAAAATATCAGTTACATGATTGGGACAAATTACATAATCTGTTTGGAGTCATATATAACTTGAGTACAAAATGAAGGAGTTGGTATAAATCAGGATCCATAATATCAGATGCACAAAGAGGTCAGAAAAATAACAAAATTGAATAAACTGGGCTAGGCACAGATTAATAGAGATGTGGAGGTAGGTCATTAAAAACAGCACATTCTATTTACAAAGGGTAACTGCTGTGTGATAATGCATGTCTAGTTTGATTTTTCAGTCAAAATAGGAAGGTTAAGTTTTTATATAAAGTCTATGAACTTTTAAATTGTGGTAGCCAATGTAAATTTCCTTTTTTAAAGATCAGCTGTCTGAGTTTGACCTACGGGCTGCCAGTTTATGATTTTTAGGTAAGCTGTCTGTAAAGTATCTTGTGATTCTAGCATTCTGAGTGTGATATAATATGATTTTTTTTCCATTTTTTTCCTTACGTTGAGTATAATCAAAATCTATTGTTTAATTTTGGAAGCAATAAAATGATGGCCAAATAAAGGATTTCTCAGGAACTATCTTTTTA